CGTTGATATGTGATCATGGATCGCTTCAGCTTCAATCTGGAACAAAAAACATAAAACAACTCATTTTTGAGTTAGATTTTATATTAAAAATATACTATTGAAACATTAAGACACTGATTAACAATGAAAATTGATGTAAAATCAATATCTTTTAGTTTACTGTTTCTTCTGCAGACCCGACCGAAAACTCTTCGCGAAGCCATTTAGGATCATAGGATTGGAACTTGTGGTTTAAACAGACCGCGGCTTCATCGTGTTATAGCACCTGCAGACTTAAACACCTAGCCTGTCTGGAGGGTTACCGATATTCGTAGCTATATGTACAATATTCATCATCCATCGCCATATATAAACACAAAAACATCAATGATATGATATTACATCTCTGCCTGCATGTGCCAAAGTACTACGGAGCCATGCTCTAATTAGGCGTTCTCCCAGACTACTGGCACCAAAAGTACCGTGTGCCTACGCTACACTTTCATCCTTCAGTCAGTAGCATTTGCAAAATAGCAACAGAATTGTTTCTTCATTCCATTTCAGTCTGCATATACCGACAGCAGGCTATCAAAGAGAATTAAAGCGACTCGATCGTGTTGCTGATCGTCCTGTAATTTTTAATCTAGTCATTAAGGATTCACAGACATTGCTTTGCGATGGTATTAGTAGCTGTCTAACGAACAGTTATGAATGTTGGCAAAACAATGAATAAGTGATGTGGAAAGTTAATGGCTCCAACGCATTTCAAGAAGGAAGCATGCAGATTCGTTCATGTATCGCCTTCAACTTGGTGAAGTCCTATGAAATGATTCAGGAGTCTTTGGCGATTTTACTGCAATTCAGAAATAATTAACTGAAATAACATATTAATATAACACAGACGGCATACCCATGATAACTGTACATATCGAAATATACACACAGCTCGATAGCGCATTATCAGAGCCATGTTTCGCCTAAGCCTGACAGTCTTCACCACAGCAATGACTGATGAATTACGACAGTTTCTGAACCCAGTCATACTAACTCGACATAATATTGTCGAAGAAAACATTTGAATTGTGTACTACAAAGTTAACGTATGAAAAATCACTGCACATCTCAGCTAACAAGAACAGGCTGTGCGGCAGTTGTATAACTTTTTTATATGTCGCTAGAGGATAAAGTTTAGTATATACGCCAGTTGAAGCTTATTTACTTGTGTGGAACATATCGTAACACGCATTGCCACTTTTCTGTTCCGTAAAAGGCCACTGCTGCATGACCGAAACGTTGACACCTGTCTGAGAAGTTTCGTAACATTAAACCATTAAATTGGAAGTAATAGTAATCTATACCAGTTACTAGCGTAGAATCAAATCCAACTTTCGAAATCATAAACTAATTCTAGCTGAGCTTCTATAAAACCTCTACAAACAGTATATCAAAAAAGAATTATCCATTGTAGTTTAAGTAAATGCATAGATGACCATAATATCACACTTATAAAGGTATTAGAAAGTTGTCGACGGGTGAAGAAGAGCTCTGCGAAACAAATTTACAAAACCTTGCAATGAAAGCTATATTAATAAAATAAAAACCATCAAAAATTCCAATCTTTTCATTGAAAAAACGTAGCAATGACACATTAGTACAAAAGGGCAATTTGACAAGATACACCACGTCGATAATTCTAGTTAAATTTAGCCGGTGACAAAACTGTTCTCATGTGCAGTTTTCCAAACCGATAGACGAAGGGGCAGGCGGCGCACGATTTTACTGCCAAAAAATGTCCAAAACAACCGTATATCGCTTTAAAAACTTCATTCACGCTTATTCAACAAATTACAGGTGTGCATATCACAAAACCAGTAAGCACAGGTCAAAGCCAGCTTCGAATGACCTCCGAAGTCAGGACAGCCATGAATCTAGTCGAAAGCATCCTCCTGACTTTTCCTAACGCACATCGCTACTTTTTTCTTAAATTCCGGATAATGGTCTCGCCACTGTTTCTAAAGAGTATTTAATAACGCAGAACTAAGGACAAATGAGAAACGGATGAACGACTATTAACGTTGGTTAAACAGCGTTCATGGGTCCACATGATTCTTCTTAATGCGTCATCAAGTAAGAATCTCTTCATAGCAAAAATTAAAAATGTATATCACATATCCAAAATAAAACATTTTCATAGGAGAGCCATTCTTTTTTAGCGTCGATCAGACGCGAATTAAATTTTGGCGAAAATCGTCATCTGTTGTGCATATCCTCCGTCTTCTTTGGCGTAGTGCAATGACGACCCATTTCTTTACGCAACCTGGATGATGTGAAGAATGATAAACATACCTGTCAGTATGCATCTTCTTGCAAAACACTGTGGTCAAATATCCCTGATGGTGGTGTCTAACTAGCACAACCAAGGGGTAGGACGCCGTTTTCTTCTTACTCCATAATGAAAACGATTAGGCTTGGAAATAGGCTATTTAGAGGTTTCAAAAACGGCGTTTCAGTTCCATTTTTACAGAGGGAAGATATGTCATCAACACACCTTTTGAAACAGGTTAGACAAGCACCTTTGTCACCCATACCGAAGGCTATGTTCTAAATGTTCTGTAAACATTATCAGCGAAAACAGGAGACAGATAGAGGTGACTGCACAGAGATTCCTTTCTATCGACGATTCAGTTGGCCACGAAGGCTTGACAAGTTTTTCAAAACAAAGAGCCTCTCCCCGTCAGATGGCCTTGATTAAAGACTATGTTATGCGTTGTTTTCCCGTGACTTACCAAAGCATCGCATCATCTCCTTCATGAAGAACAATAAACAATATTTGCAAGCCGATTAACAATCAAAAATCACGTTAAATAGTTTAAAAGTATAGCAGGAGGCGAGAAATGAAAATAAAACCAAGAAAATCAACTCAGGAAAAAAGGCTAGCAATTATTTTAATAATAAATTATGTGAAACTATGTGAAACGCATTGGTAGCCAATTATGCAATTAACACAGTCAGCAACAGCATGAGCTTTAATGAAAACCAATTCACGTATTAATATAGACCCAGTATGGTGTTATGTCGGTCTAAAATTCTGGCTTGTCTGTTAACGGATGCATGCAGATTTTCCATGACAAGTTTTACCATGTATTCTCGCTGCCAGCAAAAGCCGCAATAGGCTTTTTCAAGCAGTTTTCACCCGCCGTTTATCCTCAATTATGAAAGTGTACAACAGTCTTGTCAATACATGTGGTATACGGACCAGTTCTTCGCCAGGTCCATACACTTTATGCTCCAAAAATCAGGCCTAACTGAAGTAATGTTTAAGGAGTGAAAAAAGACTAAACTGAAAGGAACAGATAACATTACGAGTAGGATAATAGGTAAACAATAGCCCAGGTTAAGTCGAAATACTTGACAAAATCGAAGTATTGCCACCTAGACATATGCCATTTACATGTTCGACCTTACGTTCGCCATCAATCAGCTATAAACCTAAGCAAATGACGGATAAAGGATCGAAATCTGCCCACTCACCGCTGCGTCGACGTTTGCCGGTGACTGATCATTCGGGTCAGCCAGCATGGAAATCACAGATATGAGAATGCTTTCCACTGTATGAATCGGTAACCAACGCTCTGATGCTTTCTCGTAACCCCATTTGTCGTCCCCTGGTTCGTGCAGGATAGAAATACAAACGTTGCCATCTTTATGAACTAAAACAAACAATTTAAAACCCGCTTTAAAATATTACATTCATTTAAACATTTATGAAAAAATCCTTTATAAAAACTCACAAAATTCAGGCTAACCAATTAATAAGCATTACAAAGCACAATGCAGAATTTATAAGGCATACAACTTGTTAGAATGGATGTAACATATTTCTTACATTCGGTAAAACCACAGAACATGCAGATTTCCACCGAAGATCCGTAAGCCTAGAGCCTATAAATTCTAAAAATCCGGAAGCGAGCATGCGAATTTGTAGCCTCGAAATAGCCCTATATTGAAAGCAATAGCACTTATTTCGACTACCATTTTTCACTTGATGCCTGTGTTCATGCTCTGTTGTTGTGCCACGTTTTGCCGTTAGACTGTGAAGCATTAGCATGTACTTTTTTGTTCTACTGTCGAAACAAAATTTGTTTAAGAACTATTCAGAAATAAATAAACTTCATAATAATAATAATAATAATAATAAT